AGAATACAGCCTTGTAAATTATTTAAATGTACGAGATGAAGGGATAATTTTTTCGAAGAAGAAAAAAAAAATTGAACAAGAGAGACGTTAGCGAGTGACTTAAAAAAAATTATCTGAACACGCGTGCACAACTACGTATCGATAATTAATTTAATAACTTGCGTAATAAGATATTCATAAGGAAGAGAAAAAAAAAAGAAAAGAGAAAAAAATGAATGAATGAATTAAAAAGAAAATTTATGGAACGGGACATGTGCATTTAATGTATGAATGTCTGACTTTAAAATTACGCGACACGTCATACGGATTAATATTATTAATGGCCATCATAACTCCATAATGAGAAAAAAAAAGAAAAAAATTATGCAATCAATTAGAAATAAATCGTGCATATTCGTAATATATATACATATATATATATATATATATTTTATCAAAAGAATTTTGTTAATGAAATTAATCAAATTGTCAAGTATGTTGAAATGATTCGATCCTCTCGTTTCAAAGCGAGATGTCGAATCCCATTTCCCATCCTTTTGCCAATGCTATCTATCGTCGTTTCACGCTCGGCACCACCCGCAGCAATAGCATAATGGCCACAGGAAGAAGAGAATGTGCTTGACTCGCGATCCTACACGGCTTTGGAATCCGAAGAGCTCCACGTACGTACGACCGGCCAAACATCCCCAGTATTCCTCGCGAAAAGCATAAACTGCCTTTGGAGGTCGTTCTTTATCGCTTACACTTTACACCGAGTTTACACGTATTTCTTTATCGAAAACAACAGGCATAGAAAGAAAAGAAGAAGTTCTATGAGTGATCGTACGTATTGTACATACTTTATTCTGTTTTTTCTTTTTTTTATTTATTTATTTATTTATTTGTTTTTTTTTTCTTTTTGTTTTTTTTATTTTTTTTTTATGTATAACGTTGACCATAATTTGTTTCACGCATTCTTGAAATAGACCGAAAATTAAATTATTACACTTTTCAAAATTATTACATTATATAATAGAAGATTATTATTTCTATCAAATTATGCAATAATGCGAATTAAAAAAAAAAAAAAAAAAAAGAAAAGAAAAAAAAGAAGAAAGCAACGCAAAGAAATATGTGCGATATATGTTAAAAAATTTAATTCTCTCGATACAAAAAATATATCACTGTGATGATAATCATTGTTATATTAATATAAATTGCGTGTTAAAATTAAGGGCTAATCGTTGATGATAAAAAAAAAAAAAAAAGAAAACACAAGAAAAAGAAAAAAGAAGAAAAAAAAAGAATAGAAAATAAAATAAAATGCGATTAAATTAAAGTTAGAATGCGTATCAATAGGCATACAAACAGAGAGAATGAAAATGAAATAATGATTTATTTCGTGTCGTGTCGAAGACATTCGAACATATGTAATCTACGATCGATTATGTATGTATGTACATACATTCATACATACATACATACATATATACATACATACATACATACATACATACATACATACATACATACATACATACATACATATATATATACCTATATTAAAAAGAAGGAACAAAGCACAACATAGGACTTATAGCCCTATAGGATGATTTAATATTCGAGCGAGTCTCCTCGCGTTTTCTCCACACGACGTGTAGGGACCGGAACCCTCTCTCGTTTCTTTCGTCCGCATCCAAGATGAGATGCGTTTGAAATGTTAGAAACCCTAACGAACTCGTTATTCATGAAACGTGCTCTTGATCCACCGAAACGTAACTATTCGCAACGCGGCAAGAACTCGTCCGATCTCGGGATAAAAGTCGATCGTTCGTCCTCCTCCTCCTCCTCCTTCTCCTCCTCCTCCTCCTCTTTCTTCTCTTTCTCTTTCTCCTACTCTTTCGTTCCTTACGACTGGTTTCGCGCTCCTTAGATGGCAATGATTCTTTCTATCTGTTGACTTTTTCAATTCTACTCTAGCATAATTATTTTACATCGAACACGATAAGACAGATAGATAGATAGATAGATAGATAGAGAGAGAGAGAGAGAGAGAGAGAGAGAGAGTTTTTTTATATTCGAAAAAAAAAGAGAAAAAGTTTACTCTTCGATAAATATCTTTTAAATCTCGTTTTATAAGGTGTTACTTTCGAATTAATAATAAAGAAAAAAAAACAAAACAAAAATTCTTTTTCAACGTCATATTAATTAAAATAAATCAAACAATATCAAAATCCCTTTTTTTTTTTTTTTTCTTTGGTTTTTCTTCTTTTTTTTTTACCTTATCTTTTCGATGTAAGAAAAACACGCACATAAGCATACACGTTTTATTCAATTTATCTATTGATCTATGATAATTCTTTCTTTCTCTCTCTCTCTCTCTCTCTCTCTCTCTCTCTCTCTCTTTTTCTTTCTATTAAATACAATTTTATATCTAAATATGTTATTTAAAAAAAAAAAAAATGAATAAAATTATAATACACAAATGTAATCGACGTTAAGAACCAAACTCGATTATATTTTATTTTATATACTTCCTTTTTTTTTCTTTTTTTTTTTTTTTTTATTTTCTTTTTTTCCCCCATTCTTTTCAAATGTTAAAAGTACCTTAACGATAAAGACGATTTAAAAAAAAAAAAAAAAAAAGAAAAAATAAAAATAAAAAAAAAAAAATATTGTTATTGCATGGAAGAAGAAATTTATCGTATCGGTGAGAAGTTCTGCTTCTGTCGTGAGATTTAAGCGAGTAGCAACGTAAAGATCGGTAGTCATTTGAAGCGAAGTCGTCGGAGTCGCCGGTGAGAGACGTTGATTTAGATGGCTGTGATTTCCGAGTTGGCTACTCGTCCTACGAGAGTGCGAGAGGATCGACGAGAGGACTATATATATATATATATATATATAGTTATATATATATATATAGTTACCTATATATATATATATATATATATATATATATGTATATGTGAGCACTATAAGGAGGAAGGTGCGTAAAGACGTCGAGGTTATCTCTCTCGCTTCCTCTTCCTACGAGACGATTTCTCTCCTCCTCCTCCTTCTCTCCCTTCACCCTTTCTCTCTCTCTCTCTCTCTCACTCTCTCTTTCTTTCTCTCTCTTCTTCTTCTTCTCTTTCTTTTGCTACTCAGCGCCACGGAAAGTTGCCACTAATGACAGAAAGAGGAATGCTGTCCGGCAGCGCGCGACCACGTCGGTAGCCATTTGTAATTCTCCGTGAGAGAAGAAGCGAGAGAGAGAGAGAGAGAGAGAAAAGAGAGTAGAAAGAGAAAGAAAGAGAGAGAGAGAGAGAGAGATGAGTGGAAAAAAAAATGGCGAAAACATCGAATCAAGGTGCGACGACGATGGAGGAAGACGACCTGGACAGGTTGGAATTAGCGACACGTTGCCGCTCGTAATTAAAATCGCTTGGGGTTGCCCTTGGGAGATCTTTTTATCGTTTGGGCTATTACCTTCGATCGCGCGATCGGATGAAAGAATGAGAGTCTCTCCTCGCTAGTTTCCACGCAATCAAGTATTTTCATTGTCAAATCAAATTAGTGAGTATCAAGACGTTAACTGTTAATCAATTTTTATATTCGTCGTACAAATATAAACATTACGATCCAACGATTTGATCTTATAATAATAATAATAATAATAATAATAATAATAATAATAATAATAATAATAATAATAAAAATGATAATGATAATAATATTAATAATAATAAAGATGATGACGATGATGATGATGATAATGATGATGATAATAATAATGATTATAAATAATTAAATAAATAAATAAAGAGGATAGAGAGAGAGAGAGAGAGAGAAAGAAGACAATCGACAGGACGTTTCTCGAAGTGTATTGTCGACCAATCGGAGTATCGCATTCGTCACAGTTAATTCTCCGTGGTGCAGAGGCGGACTGTTTTAATTAGAGAATCTAATTGATGGTCGGTGCCTGGCGTGGCGGGCTTAGCTGCCGAGCGACCCATAAACGACTTCTTAGACCGGCGCACCTGGTCGACCATGGTGTTAATTACTCTCCTTCTGTGGCCTGCTCCTTCTTCTTCTTATTCTTCTTCTTCTTCTTCTTCCTCCTCCTCGTCCTCAGCCTCAATTTCGTCCTCTTTCTCTCTTTCTCTCTCTCTCTCTCTCTCTCTCTCTCTCTCTTTTTCTTTTCTTTCCCTTTTTTCCCTTCCTTTTACCTTCCACCTTCGGACGTTCCTTGTCCGTGAATGGCCACGAAGAAGAAGAAGAAGAAGAAGGACACGCGCGGCGAGACGAAAGACGAAAAAGAGAAAAAGATAAAGAAAAGAAGAGAAGAGAAGAGAAAGAGCAACAAGTGTCCCCCGTCGCGAGGCGCAAAAGCATTCCTAATTACGCCCCTGCCCTCGAAGCGAAACGAGACAAAAAGCCCCTTGATTACATTTTCGTATAATTTCATCGTGCGGCTCGCGCCATTAACAGAGAGAAGAGAAGCGGCGCACCCCGCGCAAATTAGATCGATTCCTTAATGCCTCCGGCCAAGTAATTGGTTCTCATTCTCGGAAGCTGACGGTGAAATCGGATATCTGTCTCTCTCTTTCGCTGATGCTCGTTCTGGTCGACCGGTCGAGAAAGAAAGAAAGAGAGAGAAAAAGAGAGAGAGAGAGAGAGGGAGAGGGAGAGAGAGAGAGAGAGAGAGAGAGAGATACACGTAATTGCCTTCGCGACGACGCGTCTCACAGTGAAAAGAGGCGACTCGTCTAAGAAAATATCTTTAATATAAGTTCGATAACGACGAGACTTTTACTCGTTAAAAGCGATTACTTTTATCGAGTGTTCTTCGATTAAAGAAAAAAAAAATTTTTCAAACGTTCCATTCGCCGATAAGATAAGTTGATTGAATTGATAATAATGATCGACATAATAATCACTATTAGATTGTAATCTTTACATTTCGATGATATTGAATGGAAATAAATAAATAAATAAAGATAAGTAATGAGTCGAATAATAACGTTGATGTTTCCTCACAGTGGTACACGGTAGACACCAGCAAGATACGAGACGATTTGCTAAAGCTATGGGTTCCTCTGGGTGCGGGTCCCTGCCGGGACCAGCCGGATAAAGCCACTGAGATTTTCTTGATGAGATCCACCGAGAGGTCTGACTCTTTGCCACTGCAAGCCTGGCATTCGTTGGCGAGATCGGCCCTCTCTTGGTTCATCAGTCGCACCTCCATCAATGGGTAAGTCGCTTTGACCAAAGTACAATTAACCTCTCTCTGTGTGTCTCTCTCTACCTCAAAAAAAAAAAAAAAAAAAAAAAAAGAAAAGAAAAAAGAAAGTAATCCCCTTGAAATTGATCTTCCCATTTCGAACAACAAATAATTGAACGATTGAAAACAACAATGATAACAAACTAATTATACAATACGTAAGGTTTTTCTTTGATAAAACGAGAATCAAGGAGTGATTGAATTTGAGGAAAAATTCTCTTAAATCTTAATGAAAAGTCCAATGAAAATTTTGTTAATAAGAGATCCATGTTATTTCGATATATATCCTTAGGCTAGTGCAAAAGCAAGACCTACCAAAGGTAGGATCGTTTGCGAGGTGATGAAAGGGGGCCTTCCCTTCTCTCCAGTTAATTAATAACCACGGAGATACGATCTCCGCCTATCTCACTGTCCGTATAGTCTCGACAAGCTGGTGGCAAAGGCCCTGCCATGCCCGTTCCCTTTCCCCCCTCGCCTCACCGACCGTAGTGGAGAACCTTCTCTATCTCATTCTCTCTTTCTCTCTCTCTCTCTCTCTCTCTCTCTCTCTTTCTCTTTCTCTCTCTTTCTTCTCTCTTTCCATCTCACCTGGCGAGGTGGTCCGCCGAGAGGAGGCAAAGAGAGAAAGAGAGAGAGAGAGAAAGAGAGAGAAAACAGGGGAGAGAAAGAGCCACGGTTATTGATGGCCAGCTTTGTTTGCCCTCGAACCGTTTATTAAAATCCAACGCGGGTGATTAACCTCTTCTCGAGGCGCGTCGTCCTGCCAGCTACCATGCGAAACACCTCCGCAGCCGCCTCGTCCGTTTATTAAAATCCACCGTGGCTATGGTGGTTCTGGCTACTAGGCGGGTACGGGATCGTTCGTTCCTTCGTTAATCGTTTGGATCGAAGGAACGTCTAAATCCTTTCTAAATCTTGATCTTACTAATTCGAATACTTACTTGTGTCTAATTCTTATCTTCTTTCAGAAAAAAGAATAAAAAGAAAAAATAAAAAAAAAAAAAAACAAAAAAAGATTAAAAAAAAAAAAGAAGAATAAAAGAGAAACGAAAGATGAAGAAAAGACAAGATCTCTTGAGAGAGAGGAAGAGAGAGAGAGAGAGAACGAGAGAGAGCGAGAGAGAGAGAGAGATAGGATACTTTTCCGTGACAAAAGTTAAAAGTAACAGTCAGAACTAAGAAAGATAATTCACGGTGAAAATCTACGACGACTGAGTCACCTGGATGACGTTCGCATGACGTTACTACGCGCTCCTGCTGAGAGTATTAATTACGTTCTCTCCGTGGTTGATCCTGCAGCTTCTCTTCTCAGCTTCATTCTCTCTCTCTCTCTCTCTCTTTCTCTTTCTCACGTGACTCCTGGCTACGAAGACCGCGGGCTCTCGCAAATTAATCATAATTAGCGGCGAGATGTCCTCCATCAAAGTGCTGCTTCTACTTCTTCTTCTTCTTCTTTCTCTCCTGGGAAAAAGAAAAAAAAGAAAAGAAAAAGTAAAACGAGTAGGACGAATTAACATAGAATGATGAAAAGAGAGAAACAGAGAGATAGATAGATAGATAGAGAAAAATAGAGAGAGAGAGAAGATCGATTGGTCGAATACATATGTATATACATACCTACCTAACCTACCTACCTACCTACCTACCTACCTACCTACCTACCTACCTACCTACCTACCTACCTACCTACCTACCTATCTACCTATCTTATACATCCTTTCCAAATCCACGAAAATCTCACTTCGTAATTTTCGACGCTTCAAAAGGCAGACGAGATTGCTTTTGGTTTCTTCCATTCTCTGTGATTTCTGCAGGTACTCCAATGTCAATTAACATCGATCGAAACGGCAATACCATCATCCTCCAAACCGTAGGCCAACGTCGTTATTACAGCTAATTGCCCAGCGGAAATCTAAAACTCCTCCCTCCGGTAGGAGTCTCTTCCTTCGAGGAATCCTTATTTTACACTCTCCGTCTGATCGGTATCTCGATGCAAATTTGGTTGTTAAAGGTATCGTTTGGTTCAGAGAAACCTCAGTAATTACTAGCTGTCTGTCTACTACTGCAATAATCGTCGAGTCGTCCTTTGCTTTTGTAATTTCTCGAGTCTTTTCTAAGGATCGATCGAAGTGAATCAACTTCTTTTTTTTTATTACGCTTTCTCTCTCTCTCTCTCTCTCTCTCTCTTCTATTTTAATTTCTTCTTCTTTTCTTTTTTCTTTTTTCCCTTTTTTTCTCTTTTTTCTTTTTGCTTTAGACATTTTCTCTTTTTCGTATAGAATAAAAATAAAACGACGATATAATAGAAATAAAAAGTTAGTATCACGTTTTAATAATAAATGATTATATGCATGTCGTCTAGTATCGTCGTGTAGTATAAATGAAGAATTGAAAAATTTGAAAAGAGACATAAAAGTGACACGTTCCCGTTGAAGTCAAATCAACGAAGAGAAAAAGAGAAAGAGAAAGAGAGATAGGGAAAGAGAAAGATGGAGATTCTGCAGAGGTTCGCAAGAGCAGACGGGATGGCTCGATGGCCAGTTTTTGTCTCGATCTCCGGCGTTGCAGGGAGGATGAGATAAAAGAGGCGGAGGTGGAGATGGAGGAAGAGGAGGAGAAGGTGGAAGAGAAAGAAGAGGAGAAAGAGACAGAAGAGAGGATGCCGAAGTGGCTTGAAGGCACTCGGATGAAGAGAGGAGAGTCCGTTTAGTCCCGCACGCCACCTGTTACCTCCCTGTCTCTTCACCGCTGAAGCTCCCTTTTTAAACTCCGAAGCGAAGGGTGACAGGAATCTTAGCTTTGTCCTTAATATCTCCGCCGAATGCATACTGCATACGAATGCGATCCCATCCTTTCGAGGGCCTTGATTCGAGCCCTTATTTGCCCTATTCCTGTGGAATCCAGCTTTAAACTTTTTTCTTAACTCTTTCGCTTTTCTTCTCCTCCTACTCCTACTCCTACTCCTCCTCTTTCTCTTCCACCTCTTTCCCTTCTTCTTCCTCTTCTTCTTCTTCATCTTCTTCTTCTTCTTCTTCTTCTTCTTCTTCTTCTTCTTCTTCTTCTTCTTCTTCTTCTTCTTCTTCTTCTTCCTCTTCCTCTTTCTCTTTCTTCTTTTCCTCCTCTTTCTGAACTTCACCGACCAAAGTGTTTTCTTTTCTCTTTTTCAAGTTGACGAATGGCGCGTCCCCTATCTTCCCCCCCCCTCATCATCCACCCTCTTTCTTGCGCAAAATCAATGATCGCAAAACATTAGATAGATCATCATTTCTATTTCTCGATTTTCTCATGATTATTATGACGAATCATTGCCGAACCTCCTAACGCGCAGCATCTCAGGAACGTTTCTTTTACTGTAGGTGCAGTTCATTGAACGTGTCTCATCGTCATGACAATCCGGATATGGACATAACGTCGTCGTCGTCGTCGTCGTCGTCGTCGTCGTCGTCGTCGTCGTCGTCGTCGTTATCGTTGTCGTTGTCGTTGCCGTTGTCTCGGGCTATACGGAAAGAGGTAAATACGATTTTAATGAGCGAACAGAAGAGCCACGTGTAATTTTGTATCGCGTGGGAATCGGGCTATACCTTTTTTCGTTAAACACGAATAGCTCATTTTCCGGAAGCAACGTCGGGAACAAATGTTGGCGGGAAAAGATTACACCGATTATCTCTGACGAGCCTGACCGAGGGTTAGAGCTCTTACAACTTATCGTCGAATAAGTCGATGATTTAGACACTATGATGATAGACCATCTGTCCCCCACTGTGACAGAATATGGGAACCTGAGATGAAATCAATAAGTGGAAAGAAACAAACAAAAAGTATTAATAAATAAATATAAATAATAAAAAGAATTTAGAAAAGGGGGGAACAAAAAAAAAATAGAAAGAAATCGATGGATTCCCTGAACACCCCTTCCCCCACCCTCTTTTTCAATAATTACCACAATTTTTTACAACCTACGATCACTTGTATATAATTTTATTACGTCGAATAAACTCGAATATAATTAAATATCTACGAATAATGATCAATAACGAAAAATTAATATATTAATATTTAATATTTAATAGAGATATATTTTCACTTAGAAATATATTTATTTGAAATTTGTAATCCAAATGAAAAAATATAAATGAAGAATATTATCGTCCTTGTCATTCGAAAGCTTTCTTCGATCTCTCTCTCTCTCTCTCTCTCTCTCTCTCTCTGTCTGTCTGTCTATCTGTCTGTCTGTCTGTCTGTCTGTCTGTCTGTCTCTATCTATCTATCTTTCTTTCTCTCTCTTTTACTATCCCTCACAGCATCCTCCGATTGGTCCGTCGAGACAGCCGTTAGTTCGTTGGTCAGTAATTATCATTAGCGCGTTTGCGCGGCGAGGGTCGGCCGTTGGTGTTTTCTTCCGATTGGCAACCCTCTCCGTAATTAATCGAGAAGCGCAGGCGCGGCTCCTCGCACCCTCGAAGGAAAACGTATCGGCACCGCCTCACCTCTCTTTCTCTCTCTCTCTCTCTCTCTCTCTTTCTGTCTCTTTCTGTCTGTCTCATACCAATTCTAACCCTCTCAGACACGAGAAAGAGAAGAAAATTCTTCTCTATCTTTATCTCCCTTTAGAAAGTTCCTTCTCTTGTGGTTGGAGCATCGACGCCCCAATCATTAATTAAAAGCCAGTGGGTGGCGTTTCTTCAAAAGGGAAAGAGAGAGGGAGAGAGAGAAAGAGAGAGAAAGAGAGAGAGAGAGAGAAAGAGAAAGAGAGAGATAAGGATAGAGGAGTTTGCGCCGTGCTAATTGCTCATTAACCCTTTTAGAATCGTGCAACGCCCAGGGAGTGGCCAAACTCGTCTGACAGTATTTTAACTTGAAGGAAAAAGGGGGCGTTTACAATTTCATCGAATTATTTCTATTTGCCCGTATTTATACGTCATTCTCGTTTAAGATAGATAAAAAATTGAATTAATTAACGAATAGATAAT